TTTTTGTTTCCTCAGACTTTAAAATCTTATTAATTATCTATGGCTACTTGATTTTAAAGTACACATAGACTTTGAATTAATCACACCTGCTGGTACTTCAACAGATCCTGATCTTAAAGGCTGAATCAACACGAGCAATAGATCGTTTGTAAACACTGTGGACTCACACAATCAAGCCAAGAAAACATTTGTAGTTTTTTTACAAGCCCCCGAATGATTTTCAGCTCAATTATAAAACCATATTAACATTACTTGTACTTAAGTGATTCCTTGTGACATTTTCAGCTGAGAAGTTAATTCATAGTCGAGGTACCAAAGTAAAAAGCTCATCAAAACAATAACCATGGATTTTATCAAGAACCTCTAAATTGATAGAAGTACAATACCAGGTATGTGTTATAAAGGAATAAAGTGTCACTGCCTACACTGGTGTTTGAACACAGATCACCAGAGTGCAAACACAGGCGATCCCATTTTGAATAAGTAGATCAAGTGATAGTAAAGGAAATGTATATATGGGAATTAGTGTGGCATCTAAGTGATCACTATATGGATTACTATCCAGATCACTGTACGAATTAGTATTCGGTGGTTACTATTTGAGTAGGTATTATTGAGCAAGTACTATTAGTGTGAGTTATACAAAGGCGTCTGACACCAGTATTGTTCAATGGTGTTACTATAGTTGTATCTGCGATTACAAAGTCTCTACTACAATGAGCATTATGAAAGTGTCAACGAGTATTCGTTGACATCACAAAAGTATGATAGCAATATTCAACTTGTAATGCCAAGTAATGCAGACTTCTGAAGTAATGAGATACTAGGCCTTTTTCTGATTTTCATAAAGTTAGACTTGAAGTTCTGTGGTGTAGGCCCAAACACCTCAGTAACTGGAACTGTAGCCACCTTAAAGTCCCACAATCTGCCAACAATATAGAAACAATATAAATAAGCTTTTTTTTTTTTACTTACCCACGGAGAATGAATTATTTGTAGCCCTGTGAATGTCTTAGAGTTTCTTGTGTAAAAACTAACTGCAAAAAGACAATTTTTGCAAAAAGATTTAGACAATTCTTCTGTGAATCATTTTGGGTGATGAATAAAATTTACCTATTTTTATTCTCTTCTGGGTGTACCTGTTGATATATTTCACATCTTTTGAGTCGACAAAAAGTATTAAATGCTCAGCACTTTTTTAAAATTCATATACTGGCTATATCTATTCACACACTAAACGTACACTCTTATGCAAATTAATTGAAACAACTACTTTAGTTTCCTTTCTTTTAACATAAAGTCAGTTGTAGATCCACTGGAGTGATAGGGTGTAATCAATTTGTATTTTTTCCTCAGATTAGGCCATTTGCAGTGGTATGCAGTAATATGAATCTATTTTCAGGGTGTATGATGAAATTTGTTTAGCCTTGAAAAATATTGTCATCCGTGATTGCATCCGATTTTCATCATGCCCAGACACTATTATCTCTACTGTCGATTAGTTGTCCTACAGCTATTGTCTGTGATGGACATTCCTCCATGGAAGTGTACAAAAATTGTAACGCTGCACACACATACTGGCAAGCTTTACCAGTAAGCAAATTAATGTACTAGAAATTGGCCTGGAAACTCACATGATTTAAATCCAATCAAGAATCTGTGGTCAATCTGCAAGCAACGACTTAGGAGAATAGACATATGAAGCACTAACATGTGCACTGGGTCAGGTTTCATTGGGAAAATACAAAAAAAGTAAATAATAATGGAATTATTCATAATTTGTACAAGAGTGTATGATGAGAATTTTGTTGCCTTATGGCAGTATCTCTTATTTATGAGAGGACTGCGGTCATTACCCGACACCCCCACTTTTGTTAATCATTTCACCCCAAGCAAGGTAATAGATCCACTAAGATGCAAGGGGTTACTAAGTGTTAGAGAATATGAGAAAAATATACTTAGGAGAGATGATAGCACAACAAGAATTAAGATAAAATTGATGTTGCATTTAGATTTTTAAAGATCAAAGTTGACTGGGAAGCAATAAGCTGGAAGAGAGTTTCCCAAGTGAGACATGCAAGAGAAGAAACTATTAGCATAGAACTTACAGTTACCTCTGTGCTGAGACATCTTAAGCAATTTTTCCATGAAAAACTCGCTTTAAACCTCAAGCTCAACTTGTCACATTTGGTAATTACATGCATGCACTGAAAAATCCACATTCTATATACATTGAATATTTTTGCTGTTTCTATCAATGTTACCACTGACTATATATATAAACAATTTAGAATAGCTTATGGTTTTCAAGCCTGAAGAAAACACAGCTGATATGAAAAAGATTAGTTCACTTAGGATGTTTGGAGCACTTGTAAAGGCCATCCCAGCTGGTGTACAATAGAATGGTCTGATTTTGAGAAAACTCTATCTTTAAAATGGACTCATACAAAGACTTTCCTATTTCCTGGTACTTCTCTTTCATCATAAAAGAGATAGTACTCTCTGACCTTTCACCCTGGTCTTTTCCACTTTGCATTTCTTCATAATTAGTACATGACAATTTGTAACTTCCATTGATTGTATACCTCACAGTAAAAACTATTTGGAGGTTTGTCATTAATTAATTCTGTTTTAATTTGTGTATTTGTGCAACTAAAACTATGATTTGGGGATCTTTGTAGTATTATTATTTTTATTTATTTATTTATTTTTTAGTGAGTTTTGCTTGGAAGTTTTATAATAATGTGATTTTGAAGTTTTCATCATGTAGAGGGGGTGCCAGGCATAAATTCCATCCCCCCAGGTTGAATTGGCATGTTTCAACTTGTGTTTTTCATTTCTCAATTTAAGTCTTGAGAATAACATACTAAAAAAAAAAAATTGAAATTTTTAACCATTTGAAAGTATAAAACATTTAAGTGCCTGTCTTAGATGAAAGCCAAAACAATTCCAGTTTTCAGTCAGGCTTAAAAAAAAAAAAAAAGGGTGGTGGGTTGACTTGAATCTTCAAGATGATTCAGTGGAAATCTGTGTTGTTTCAAGGAGACACCAAGTCTGCTAAATTAACTAATGAATGACATTAAAACCCCATCAGTCACTGCTTCTTACTCTGTCAATCAGCATTACTTTTCCATGCTGGTCGGCAAATTTATTTTGAGTAATTCTGATGTCATACTAGGTTGATGACAAACTGCCAACACTATTTTTAGTATAATGTTAGTGAAATCTTAGAAGTGCCTATTTTGGAGTTTACTGTTTCTATTGTTTGTACATGTATGTGTTCTCAAAAAAGTGATAGTTAACCTGGGGAAAAAACATGTTTTAGACACGAAACAAAGGATCTTTGAAACTTGTAGGAATAATAAAGTAGGTGAAAACATGTTGAGTCTTAAAGCATAATTTTTATATTCAGGGATCTTCTGTTTCTAGAATACCCCAGAATTTGAAAAATAATGAATTAGAAATTTTTGAAAGCAGATACACCATGAATTAGACTTTTTTTTTTCATTTTTATGCCATTATGTTCTTCAGCTTTTTTATCACAAACAAACTGGATTATTATTGAGGTGGATGCAAATACAGACCGAACACCATTATTATAAAGTTGCTATATTCAAGTTGGAGTAATAAAAAAAAGTTAGTAGTACTAGGAAAAGGATAAAACATAATTTGTGAATTGGAAGGGTGGGGAAAGTTAGCATTGGTTCATGAATTTGGTGACATAGTGATTCTGAGTTCAATCCCTGGTCCAGGTAGTTCAGACTCAGACTCGGTGAAAACAGAGCAAGAAATCACTGAGCGGTACTAGAAAAAAGACAAGACATAATTTGTGAATTGGAAGGGTGGGGAAAGTTAGCATTGGTTCATGAATTTGGTGACATAGTGATTCTGAGTTCAATCCCTGGTCCAGGTAGTTCAGACTCAGACTCGGTGAAAACAGAGCAAGAAATCACTGAGCGGTACTAGAAAAAAGACAAGACATAATTTGTGAATTGGAAGGGTGGGGAAAGTTAGCATTGGTTCATGAATTTGGTGACATAGTGATTCTGGTCCAGTCCTCAGACTCGGTGAAGTTCAATCCCCGGTCCAGGTAATACAGACTCATGAATTGGTGAAACAATAGAGGTACTAAAAAAAGAATAAGATGAGATGAGAACAGTCCACACCTGTAGATTAAATAAAGGGTTCGGTTAAAAATTCTCTGAAGGTTACCCAGATTAACAATCACCTGAAGAAGGCCAAAGAGCACAACAACTGAAATGTAATAACAACAAGGACAAGGATAATAGTTTGTAAATAATGTAAATTTCTCATCCCAGAATTCAAGCAGGAAAGTAAATTTGTTTAATATGCTCTTATAAGTCTTGCTATAATGTGCCATTTATATTCATGATCAAATCTTATCATAATATGAATGCTTTGTTCTCTAAAATTAAGTGTTTTTCTTTGTAGCCTCTTACTGCCAAAGAAACTGATTTTCAAGGCAAAGCATAGATGTGATAGAAGGCTGAAAGTATGGGACACCCAGTGAGGATCAATCTTACTATTGAGTCATAACACCATGTAGAAGTCCTCACTAAACGGTTTTCTAAACATAATTTAGATGTGGTACAAGGCCAAAAGTATGGGGCACCCAGTGAGGATCAAACTCAGTACTGTTTTAATTTATCAAGCAAGACAAGCTTGCTAATCATTACACCACATCTCTTTAATTACCAGAGGCGTTATTCATTTAGTCTGGCTTGCTTTGGTTGTTTTTGTTGAACAGCCTATCAATTCCTATGGGTTAATTAATGCTGAAATCTAACTATTTTGTGTGCAATTTTTCTGCCTTCAACTACAGATATTTTGTAGCAGACAGGTAAAACTGTTTGAATTATGGTTGTATGTAATTTATAATTTCCTCTGTAGAAGGTTTGAACATAATTCTTGCTTGATAAGTCTTGTAAATATTTATGTTGAGGTGGACTTATTAGCAAATCTGGATGGTAGACAGACTAATGCTCTTCAAGATTCTCTCAATTTTCACCTCTCTCCTTCCGTTCCATTCTCCTCCTCTCTCCTTCCGTTCCATTCTCCTCCTCTCTCCTCCCGTTCCATTCTCCTCCTCTCTCCTTCCGTTCCATTCTCCTCCTCTCTCCTTCCGTTCCATTCTCCTCCTCTCTCCTTCCATTCTCCTCCTTCTCCTCCTCTTCCTCTCCCTCCTCGTTCCTTTCTCCTCCTCTCCTTTCCCTCCTCCCTTTCTCCTCCTCTCTCCTCCTCCTTTCTCCTCCTCGTTCCTTTCTCCTCCTCGTTCCTTTCTCCTCCTCGTTCCTTTCTCCTCCTCGTTCCTTTCTCCTCCTCGTTCCTTTCTCCTCCTTTCTCCTCCTTTCTCCTCTCCTCTCCCTCCTTTCTCCTCCTTTCTCCTCCTTTCTCCTCCTTTCTCCCTCCTTTCTCCTCCTCTTTCCTTTCTCCTCCTCGTTCCTTTCTCCTCCTCTTTCCTTTCTCCTCCTCTTTCCTTTCTCCTCCTCTCCTTTCTCCTCCTTTCTCCTCCTCGTTCCTTTCTCCTCCTTTCTCCTTCCGTTCCTTCCCTCTCCTCTCTCTCCTTTCATTCTCTCCTTTCATTCTCTCCTTTCATTCTCTCCTTTCATTCTCTCCTTTCATTCTCTCCTTTCATTCTCTCCTTTCATTCTCTCTTTTCATTCTCTCCTCTCTCTCTTTTCATTCTCTCCTTTCATTCTCTCCTCTCTCTCCTTTCATTCTCTCCTCTCTCTTCTTTCATTCTCTCCTCTCTCTTCTTTCATTCTCTCCTCTCTCTTCTTTCATTCTCTCCTCTTCCCTCTCAAATGTCTTACTTGATGATTGGAAGAAGACCAAATTTATACAAATTTCTACTAAGCCACTCACAGTCCTCAGAATAACAAGTGATAATTGACATTCAATCTGTTTGGCAAAGTCCAAAGTCATTTTCAATATTTTAATGTTTTCGTTTTTATTTTTCCTGCGACGATAAACTATCTTCTCTTACAACCCACTTTACAATTAATTAAAATGGTAATGAACATATTTTTTATAGCAATGGCTCTTCTTGAGCATTTGTAGTTGTTAATTAATTGCATTATTAATTGAATTGTTTGGGTGTGCCATCATTGCTTGTAAATTTCGTATTGACTTCTTAAAAATTGACTATTTGTTATTTGTTCAAGTTTCTTAAACAAAATATTGTCTCTGTGACCACTCCCCTCCCCTGCTTAATGACTCATCCCTAAAATTTCCATTCACAAATTTCAATGTTTTCTAATTCTTGGTTATCAGCATAAGAAAAGAAAGCAGCAGTCTAAATTGATTCCAGTTGAATCTAATCACACTAATGCCCTTGGAAAAAGAAAGAATCTATCTCTTTTAAATGCCAGCTAGTAAATGTGGCTGATTTAGTTCAGTCACATATGACAAGGCAGCTGATCTCGGATAGTCCTGTCTCTTCTACAGTTTTCAATTCAGTGAGAAACCACTATTCTCTCTTGCTAGAACTGGGGTCTCTATAATAATAAAAAAAATGATCCCTAAAACTATGTTATTGGCAACATACTCGGTTCATTCTAACACCATAACAAATTTAGACCAATAACCTGAAGGATGAAATGCATGACAAGTTTTTCCACTTTGTCATACAATTTCACTAATATATATATATATATATATTATATGTATGTATGTGTGTGTGAAGTTCCTCTTGTCTACCTGAAATTGTATACATTTGCTTTTTGTATACAAATGTTCATTAGCTGGCTGCTTCACTCAAGATATATTGTTTGAAAGGGCTTTCCTACTCTCTTGTTTTCCTACTCTCTCTCTTTCTCTTTCGTTTTCCTACCCGCTCTCTCTCATATATATATATATATATATATATAATTTTTTACTCTCTCTCTCTTTCATTCCCCCTCTCTCTCTTCCTCCTAAAGATTTAATAATATAATATATAACAATTTCTCCATCCAGCATAATAGTATTAAAATGTGTTGTTTTGTTTTCTTTTATTTTGTTTTTTTTGTTTAGTTTTTTTTTTTTTTTTTTTTTTTCATCCCCCCCAAGCTTCTTTCATTTTTCCATTTTTCATGATTTCCATGTTCATATTGGCTTTATTTTACAAAGGTGTTAACTTTAAGAAACAAGTATTTTAAAACGTTACCTCACATTTACATATGACATGACCTTAAAGGAATTTTCAAGGAACTTCTTGGAGGTTGGGAACAGGGAAGAGAGACAGGGAGGTGGGGTGTGCTAAAAACAGTTTTACAACTACTACTATCTTTTCATTCATGGAACTACTAACTCTTAAAACCTGGTCTGACATCCTGACCAATTTTCATCCAATCAGCTGTGAGTGTGAGTCACCTTTCACTTGTTTATGAAGGTGGGTGCTGAATACTTCTGGGCTCTGACCAAAATCAAACCACAAAAATTTAAATTCGTCAGATTCTAGAAAGTGGGTTCCTCCCCCACCAACACCACCATGAACTTTTCAGCACCTCCTTCTATAATACTATCTGCCTCCCACTTCTGGCCTTCGGTTTCATTTTCATCTATTTATTTATAGCGGCTGCTAATAGGTGATCTTTGGTCATAGTCATGGGAAGTGAGATTGGTAGGCAGTATGTGAGGTTGGTGCGGAGTAAAAATGGATAATTGGTTCAGTACTTGCCTGTCAGTGATGTGAACTTATCCCTGGCTGGTGATGCTCTTGATCACAAATATACACAGAATTTCAGAGTAACATGCAATACACAAGGTATTTTAATTTCTATCTGAATTCCAATGATGCATGGTTATCATTATTTACAGTCAGACTAATTTCCTCATCTTTGATGTTATCATCACAATATTTTGACCCTTTTGTCATCCACATCTTGCATATGATGATAAACTACATCCGCATCCTGGGTAAGACGATAAACTACATCCAACAACAAGGTCTCTGATCAGAAGGTTTTGAGGAACATGGAACCACCTCTTAATTGCTGGTGGTAACGCCTGTTAGGGTCCCAGCTATGGTTAAATAGTTAATTCCCAAACTGGGGTCAAAACACTATGAAAGTGTGAAAATAGGTTTTAATACCGGAAATACGTTTTGAAAAAAAATATATTACCAGCAATACATTTTTGAAGGAAAATATTACCAGAAATAAAAATTGTCGGCATTAAATAACCCATTGAGGTTGATATACTGTAAAATAAAACCAACCAAACCTTTTGTCCTCCAGCCTTTTCAAGGTATGTGACCCAAAAAAAAAAAAATTTTCTGGAATTAACCTGATCAAACATAATTTTGGTAAAATAATATCTTTACTATTATTGTTGTTGCATATATATATATATATATATAAATATATAATATGTAAAGAGAGAGAAAGCACTTTAAGCTTGTAATTCAATCCAAGCTGCATGACCAAGCAGCTGAAAAAGAAATTAAAACCACAAATTTTAGAAGGAAACTCATTGAAAGGTAGATTACAATAGCAAAAAATGAATGAAACAAACTCCATATAGAACTGTCCTGGGTATGACAAACTACATCCAGCAGCAAGGTCTCTGATCAGGAGCATAGAATCACCTCTTATTTACTGCTGTTACCCTGGGTGGTAGCTCCTGTTAGGTTCCCAGCTATGGGCAAAATAGTGAACCCCCCAAACTGGCATCAAAACACTATGAAAGTGTAGAAATACATTTTTATAATGAAGGTGTCAGCAATGTTTTCATAGTAAGGCTCTCAAAAAAAATTGAATTTCAATATTAAATGACCGATGAGGTGTTGATATACACTATATACATTATTCAGACTATTGTCCTTATCTTTGTCGCCATATTTATTACGTTTCGGCCGTTTTACACTCCGGTCTTCTTCAGGTGGTTGGAATGTCGAACTAAACCCTTTATTTCGCTCACTGGGGTAGGCTGTTCTAGTTCCACATGCCATGTATAATGGATGTCAGTTATCTACTGTTAATTCACCTCTCCAAGTTCTCCACTGCCTTAACCGGGTATTGAACTCACTTTTGGGTCCTGTCAAGGACATGGCACAGTGGATAAAGGCGTTGGTTAGATCCAGTGACAGGACCCAAAGAGTGTAAGTTCAATACCTAGTTAAAGCAGTGGAGAACTTGGAGAAGGTAATTAACAGGAGATAACTGACGTCCATTAGACATGGCATGTGGAACTAGAACAGTCAAGTGAGCGAAATAAAGGGTTCAGTTCGACATTCCAACCACCTGAAGAAGGCCGGAGCATACAACGGCCGAAACGTTGCAATAAATATGGCAACAAAGATGAAGACAATAGTTCGAATAATGTAAATAGTGTACATAATACCTCATCTCAGAAATATAGACTGATACTGGAGAAGTTGACATGCTGTTAAACATGCAAAAACAAATCGACAGATATCTAAAGAAGGCCAGAGAATGCAACAGCCAAAACATCACAACAAAATGAGGAAATTAGTTTGTCTGTAAATAAGGTATTTTAAAGGCAATGATACAATAAGCATATAAAAATGAATTGGCAAACAGTGTTTACATTAATTCTTTTGAGAAAGGCATGTATCTTCCATTACACGATATCTAGCCAAAAGGTCTTGTCACTGATATGGTAGTTGATAGAGAAAATAGTAAATAAGCAGATATTTGGGGAAAACTAATCTATTATTATTCCTTTGTCTAGACCTAAGCAGATACTTTAAATATAGACTTTTTTTTTTTTTAAAGTATGTCTTATTGGCAGTCTTTTTCATTTGATAAGCACTTCACTCGTAAAAAGATGCCAAGCTTACTACCATCAGTAATGTCATTGTGAGCTAATGATTGAACTTAATGTTGTACAAGGGTGGTGCAAGTAACTTGTTTGTCTCTTCTGTCCAGTTTCACCCTAACCCAGGGTGGTAGCACCTGTTAGGGTTCCAGCTATGTGCAAATAGTGAATACCCACCCCCCAAACAAAAACAAAACACTAAGTATAAAAATATGATTTTATAGTAAAAACACCAGCAATACATATCTATATATAAAAAAAATACATTTTATCTGTAGTTGTAGGCATACAATTGCGTTCAAAATACATTTAGTTGTATCCATAAAATTGTGTTCAAAATATTTAGATTTCAACATTAAATAACCCATAGAGGTGTTGATGTGCTGCTAAACAAAATCAACTAACTTTTCCTCACAGTGGATTATCATGCTTCTCTAATAGGTACATATTTATTTAGCCAAGTTTAGTCTGGCCACAAAGCACAGGAGGGGAAGCACCCAGTAAGAATCAAATTCTCTACTCTAGTTAATGATTACCCTGCAGGTGGCTGGAACGTGTTTGAAGATTGTACACCCACGTTTTATTTTGACTGTAGCTGTGATGGTTGTAGTTTTTTTTTTTGTTGTTGCATCATTAAAATGTATGAATATCTGTGATAAAATGTAAAAGTAGTTCCAGAGAGGTTCTTTGCTTCTTCCATCTTGCATCACTTGTTTTTCTCTTGCAATAAATTGAGTTGTTGGGAAATTTTCCTCTCGTCCATTTCCACTTTTTAATTGGCAATTGAAAGATCAATTATGTTTCCGGTAGATTATTGCCTGCATTAACATGACTTTCAATGAGGACAGCATTTCTTACAGTGTATATTGTGTTTGAAGAAAAAAAGCACACTTTATTTTGTGACAAAAGCCATCGGTCCTTTTTACTATTTTACAGTTCCCTCTTACTAGAAAACTTAAAACTTTCTTTCATCTACATGAAAAAAAGAACTTGCAGCACTTATCTTTTTCAAATTTTTACTTTAATTTTTCACATTTTGTCTGTCTCTCTCTACTTCTTTCTGTCATCCTCTCTCCAAAACTTTCTTTCTCTCTCTCTCTTCTCCTCTCTCTCTCCTCTACTCTCTCTCTCCTCTCTCTCTCCTCTACTCTCTCTCTCCTCCACTCTCTCTCTCCTCCTCTCTCTCCTCTCCACTCTCTCTCCTCCCTCTCTCTCTCCTCCTCTCTCTCTCCTCCCTCTCTCTCTCTCTCTCTCTCTCCACTCTCTCTCTCTCTCTCTCCTCCCTCTCTCTCTCTCCTCTCCTCTCTCTCTCTCTCTCTCCCCCTCCACTCTCTCTCTCTCTCTCCTCCTCCACTCTCTCTCTCTGTCACTCCTCCACACTCTCTCTCTCTGTCACTCCTCCACTCTCTCTCTCTCTGTCACTCCTCCACTCTCTCTCTGTGTCGCTATCGCTATCCCCTTTTACCATTCTTTATCTTTCTGCTGCCCTTTATCTACCTCTCTCCCTTTACTGCCCTCCATCTGTTTCAGCCCATCTACCGCTGTCTCTCTATCGCCCCTGCTCTGCCACGCCACCTTTTCTGTGCTCTCTCTCTCTTTCTCTATTGCCCGCCACCACCACCATCGCCACTCTCATACTGATATGAAGATGAGGGTAGATATGTTATTAGTGACAAAAATCTAGTTCAAATTGAAATCCTCCAATGATAAACTTAAATAAACTTTTTCTTGATGATTTATATTCTTCTGTTCAAAGTGAATTTATTTGGAAACTGAATGTCTGCTGACTTTCAGAATATCCTCTTGTAATTTCTTATCTCTCTTTGATATTATTCAGCTTCACATATTTCTAAATTCTGCTCTGTTATTGATCGATTGATTGACTGATTGGAAGCAGCACAATTCATGATATGCTGCTGCCAATGTTGATTCTATAGACTCGGATGTCGCCTCTCTATATTTGACATATGTTCTTTTCAGCCAACATAAATGCTTCTTCCAGTAATTTATTTGTAAGAACAACTTATATATACATAAGAAGGTTAGCTTATATCGATTGAACTGAATTTATTTCCAGGATTGTCTCTGAAACATTGCTAGATTTATTATAGAATAGAAAAGGTTTCTTCTATATTCTTATCTACTTAAGATCAAAGTGATGTACCTGTTTTACTTGTTATACTGAATTAGTAAATATCCATTATTCAACTTCATCTTGCAAGGGGAAAAAAAGTCAATTTTATGAATATATATTATACCTCATAACACCCTCGAGTGCTTAGCCTTCGAGCGGGTAGAGTCGAGATCAAAATTTTTTAGTGGACTCAACAGTTGTCAATCTGCTAGTCTGAATCGTCTTCAAGAAGCAAGAGCAAGATCTAAAAGGTCAGCCAATCATCATTAGCAAATCTTAAGTGCTACTTAAGATTATCACACAGAATTCATAACTGAATCAATTGGTTAAGTTGTCAGATCCTCATACATTGAAACTGATTGGAGAGTTCATTATTATAAACTGTTACAGTGAAACATGCAAGTTACATGTAAAAGTTTATAATAAATATTTATTGCTCTACTCTTGTATTGAGCCCTTTTTTAAATTAATGTTATGAACATTTGAATTTATCTTTTTTTTTTTGTTCTTTTACATTTGGATATAAGTTGGAACAAAAATATCACAGTTACAAAGAAATAAATCCTTATGGATTATGTTTGGGAAAACCTGGTTTACTGCATTTAGTTACCATATGGTCATGAGTTCAATCCATGTATAAAATAGTTTAAAATAGACAAAGCAAAAACTGCATCACAAGGAAGAATTAAGTGTCATAAGTCTTCCTGGTAATGCAGTTTTTGCTTTGCTTACTTTATACAAGGACTAGCAGCATGGCCTGGTATTTCCCGTGCTTGATTCAAAAATCGTACGACTCGTACAGCAATCGCTATCACTTGACTTAAAATATTTTTGCCCTTCCTTGCCTTTAAAGGAGTGCCCTTTGCCATGCTGATGTTGCTACATGCCTTACTTCTTGCCTATCTCACTGCAAATTTTTCCTAAGCTCTATACTAAACATTAAATCTGTTACAAAAAAAGAACTAAACAAAATGAAAACAAAACGATCAGCTTTAAAAAAGGACTCGTAACTGGAAAAACCGAATGAAAAAAGAATGTTAACAAAATATGCTTTTTCACACCCAACCCAGTTCTGTGGAATCAGAATCAACGTTGAGTTTAAGCAAGCGAATGAGCCAATTGGAGTAAAGTGCCATGCAGATGTAAATTTTTCCCACTTGTGACGAATGCAGCTATCGATTTTTATTTTTTATTTTTTTATTTTTTTTTTCTTTGCATGTAAGCATGCTAGTTAACATTCGTGTCGGTCAGCTGTTGGCTCTCACACTGGCCAATAGAATTTTCTTGCCTATTCGTGGCAGCCAGCTATAGGCTCTCACTCTGTCCAGTAGAAAATGGCTGCAAACTACATGAAAACTGCTATAGAAGCATGAAAAAATCGATTATTTCCACTATCGATGGGAGTTGGGAAATGCAAAATTGGTCTTGGCCTTCCCACTAACTTGGAGCATGTGCATGTAAATTTTGGTGCAAATCCATCGAAAATTGCAGCCATGTATTCGTTACACACACACACATCCTGCCTTTATAGATAGATTGAACTTGTAACCACATGGCATCTAGATGCACTACACTAGGTTTCTCCAAAACCTTTTTTTTTTTTTTTTATAACCTGGATAGTAAAAAAAGAGTGAATGAAAAGTTCAATTAAAGATCAAAGAAAGTGTCCAGTGGTCATAACATTTTGACAGTGTCACTTAATTTGTGAATACTTGTCACTTGCTACTCTTAGGCTGTGGCATTGAGCCTGACTAAGCTATATTTTGTATAAATATATGTTAAGTACTTTACTAAAATATCTGTGTCAGTCAAGCATCTCCCTTGATATAGCTAACATTGTTTCATTGCTCAAATCTTATCATCATATATTAATTTATGGCTGTTAAAATATTTCAGCCACTTTCTTTAAACCTCATCAAATTAACACCAGCTCCGTCCTATCATATGGTTGCAAGACCTGAAAAATAAATTGGTAAGATCACAAGCTTATTTAACTATTCCTTAATAAATTAATATTTTTCAAGGTTAGATGGTTTATGGCTACATCACATTGAAAAACCACTTCCCATACCATCACTGAAGTTAAGCAATGTCAAACCTTGTCAGTATCTAGATGGGTGATCACTTGAGAATATGAGGTACTATAAGCTTGGATAAAGCAGGTGGTTTATTAGTGTTATATAAACTTATGGTTTTTCCACTGGAGATATATAAATCTATTTGCCCATTGAATTTATATCAGATTATATCAACAAATGGATAATGGCTCGGAATTGTTAATTGTTATATGTTTATTAATACTAATCTACGCCCAGGCTTTTTCCCCTATTTCACCTTTCTTAACAGAATTACTACTCTCCCAAGCAAATGTACACAACAGTATCAAGAAATCAAAAGAAAATGGTTGACCGTCAACACAGCAATAAAAACAATATCTCCACACATGACAGTAATTGACGTAATTTTCAGTTAACAGTATGAATATAATAGCATTCTCTAAATTCTTCCCGTTGTTAAGGACATTTTGTTTTGTTATTATTAGTTACTTTGTTTAATAAATTTCGTTTTTGCCTTGAAAAAGTCCACATTGGATGAAACACTTTGGCTAATATTAGTTTTCCTATTGTCTTTTACATACATATATATATATATATATATATATATATAAAATTGTGTATTTGGCCAGAAATTCCTCTTTTATACAAGTTCCATTAAAAACAAAAAAGTTTTTTATTTAATTTTTCTTGTATTCTTATAATTTTCTTTTCTGGACATAAATTATGTTGAAATTTTCTGAATATTCTGTATGTCTCAGTGCTTTTTGGCTATATATATATATATATATATATATATATATTGGGGGAGGTTTTACAGTGATACTTTTTTGGGGTCGGGGAGCCATGGATATGGCACCGGGCTTGCTGATTGTGTCTGGAATTGCAGAGAGAGGTATGGTGGGGGGTCTTTGTGTGGGATGGAGTATGGTGGGGTCTGGCAGAGTTCGTAATGGTTGTTGCTGGCTGTGCCAGGAAGAGAAATTGGCCATTTCTACATATCCTGATAAAGGTGTCTTATTAAATGAGAGAACTGAGATTGTCAAGGTGCGGTAAATATTTTTTAGGTACCTATGAACCAGGATGAACAAAATAAAAATCCCCCTCCCTCTTTTCCCCACTAACAATTTTTTTTCCTCTTCTATTTTACCTCTCTCCATCCTCATACTTTTACCCTCACACTATCAGTATTTTAGTATATTAGAGTAGTTTTCTTTGGCTTGTATATCCCTCCACTTGCCTGAAGAAACGTTACAGTGGAAACCCAGGTTGTGAGATTGGTTGGCATTTTAGCCTTTCTTAAATATATATATATATATATATATATATATATACACACACACACACATACACTAGTGTACTAGTGCTTTCAGTTTGTGTGTTTCTTCTGGTGTTAATTAAGGCATGTAATGGAATTTTTGAGTAATGTTCCAATTCTTTTATTTCCTTGAAAATGACTAATGATGGTCAAATGCCATGAAACAAATGATTTTCCTTTGCAAGTTTACACTTGACATCACACAGCATGCATACAAACAAGAATTTGAGAGTGCCACACGTGAGTAGTGCATTAAAGAAACTATTAGAATAGAATATATGGTTACATTTAGTTAATTTAACAGTAAAACGATGAGACCTACTAGTGCAGTGTCCTCGGTTTATATATATATATACATACATACATACATACATACATACATTATATATATATATATATATATAATAGACATTTTTATGTTTAACATTCTTTTTATAGATACAAATATTTAAGTCAATGCTCTATTTATAATAAACAGTATTAAACATTTGCTGGCCTAAATGTCTGAGAAATTTTCACAGAAAATATTCATCCTCCAACAGGATTCAAACCTGTATCCTATACGGAACCGTCATTTAGCTTGACATGCATTTACCGATTTGGCCATGAAGGAGCGTTCAGTTAGCAAGGTCAAATTTACTGTATTTAAACTTCAATCTTCCATGAATCTCTTGCATACATTCAAGCTAAATGACGGTTCCGTATAGGATACAGGTTCGAATTGTGTCGGAGGACAAATATTTTCTGTGAAAATTGCTCGGACATTCAGGCCAGTAAATGTTGTTTAATACTGTTTATTATAAACAGAGTATTTACTTAAATATTTGTATCTATAAAAAGAATGTTTAAACATAAAAATGTCTTAAAATAATTGTCGGACTTTGTCCATTTCATAATATATATGTCCAGGATAAGACGACAAAACTATGTCCAGCAGCAAGGCCTCTGATCAGGAGACTTTGAGGAGTGTGGAACTACCTCTTAATTGCTGGTGTTCCCAGGTCCATCCTGACCAGAGGTGGTAGCACCTGTTAGGGTCCCAGCTATGAGTAAATAGTTAACCCGCAAACTGGGGTCAAAACACTATGAAAGTGTAAATATAGGTTTTAATACTAGCAATAAATTTTTTTGAGGG